TTACTTTCTATAAATGACCTACAGTTGGGATTTACAATGGACTATAAAAATAATTAATAAATAAATATAAATAATATATTCCAATTATTTTTATTGAGTCTTAGTAGTATTGCAATGACATTTCCTTAAAAATATTGACATATATTAATAATGTAACAGAAACAAATTTAGAGTCTTGTTAATATGTAGATTGTTAATAAGTTGTTGACATGTAGATAACATCACGTAATAAAATGGCTTTTTCAGAAAAAGTACCTACCTACATTTTTTGATGCCAAGCATCAAGCTTTGCCATCCTTCTAGATTTTTCAAGCTGCATGGTTTTTAATCTTATTTTATTTCTATTGTTATTCTCTGCAATCTATTTTCTTGGGTCTATTTGACCTTATTTGAAGAATAAATGCTTTGAATGTTTAAAATACAGTGTTTATCATGTTTTGTTTGGTTAATTTGTTATTTATATTTTGTGCGATATAAATGGAAACCCAGGTTCTTGCTGCTGCAGATCAAAGGGACTTGTTTTCACTACTGATTTTTATTTAATTTTATCTTATTTTGATTTGATTTGCTTAGATTTTCAGTGTTAGGCCATTTAACATGCCAGCAGCCACTCAATACATTCTTCTGCTTAGCTTTTATCATAGAAGTATGAGGCCCATTTTCAACAAAATCCTCAAGAAAATAGAAGTACTTTTGTTGCAGATTTAAAAAATCATATTTGTTTAATAAATGACTAAGAATGACCTCTTCAATATGCACACCAATTTACACCAAGGAGCATAACAGAATAACAGAGTTGGGAGGGACTTTGGATGTCTTCTACTCTAACCCTCTGCTCAAGCAGGATACCCTATAACAGGGGTGTCAAACTCGCAACGTCACGTGACGTGTCATGATATATCATGACTTTTTCCCCTTTGCCGGCAATGGGGTGGGAGCAGTTTTGGCGTGACGCATCCGGCCCGCGGGCCGACAGTTTGACACCCCTGCCCTATACCATTTTGGACAAATGGTTGTCCAAGCTCTTCTTAGAAACCTCCAGTGATGGAGCACCCACAAGTTCTGGAGGCAAGTCATGCCTCTGATTAAATTGTTCTAACGGTCAGTTAGTTTTAGGTTGATTCTCTCCTTATTAGTTTCCATCTTTTTGCTTCTTGTCCTGCCTTCAGGTGCTTTGGAGAATAGGTTGACCCCCCCCTCTACTTTGTGACAACCCCTCAAATATTAGAACCCTGCTATCAAGTCAACCTAATCCTTCTTTTCATTAAACTAGACATACTTAATTCCTGCAACACTTCCTCATATGTGTTTGCCTCCAGTCCTCTAGTCATCTTTGTTGCTCTTCTCTACACTCTTTCTAGAGTCTAGATTAGCAGTATTCATTCTCACCATTTAATTATCCAAGATTCTTTATTGGCAAGCATTGACTGTGTGTGAAGTGCCTGGTTAAAAAAAGAAAGAATTGTGTGACAATAGTGAGCTTTTTTTGTAAGAAATGTCTTGTTATTCTTGAATCCCATTTAAATTTATTATTTTTTGTGGGGATGGAATCCTGAATACTTGACTTCAGCCAAAGCCAAAGCCAAAGAGGTCTGCAGATCTCTGGATATTGTTTTGGGTTCTTTGTGATTCTTTGATAAGAAATCCATTCTTGGACAGATTTGCTGTTGTCCTAAACCTTATTTCAAGATTTTGTCTCTGAATTTGAGCTTTAGAAAGGGTGTTGTCCTCTTTTCCAGACTAATAGGCATAATGTGGAACATTAGAATCTGTGTGGTCAGGAACCAGGGTTTTGTGAAATTTACAATATGTAGGGCAGGACAGGATTAAAATAGTCCACATAGTTCAATGAAGTACTGAAATGAAACAACAGTCTTTAGTTATCACTTTAAATGAATTGATGATCTTTGTGTCAATAACATTTTCATACTTCAAAAATCACATGTGGAGAACTTTGAAATGCGATAAATGAATCAAAGACTAAACTTTTCAATTATTTATTTAGTGACCCTTTGTAGAACAATAAACTCCACTTGAAAGTGATAATATCCAGTAGCAAACATTCTAAAAACAGAATGTTTTCAAGGGTGAATACAGAATTACAGCTTTTTTGCTGACGGAATCATTAACCCTTTGAAATTACATAAGAACAAATGTCATGCATGAGGTGAACAAATGTCTCATCATCTTATTTGTGTCTATTTTGGAAAGCATTGTCAGTCTTAATCTTAACACACAGCACAATGTAATCTTAATCTGGCAATTGGTAATAAGGGTATCTATTATTTGACGGACATTTGGTAAAACAGGAGCTTATGGACAATGACTACTGCCACAAAGTGGAAGTTTTCTAAGCTATTCAAAGTCCAGGTCCCCACTGTGTGGCCATATGAGTGAATACTCATTCAATAACAAGTCAAGGCTTGTGTATTTGATGGAATACAATCTGACTGCTCCTCAGACCTCAGTTGCAGTAATGATCAATTGCAGAATCCCAAATCTTAATTGTCGCAATATTTCTGCAACTGTGCAATATGCCTATTAAAGCTAGCATTCTGAAGTTATACTTCTGCCAATATTAGGCACCTTGGTTTGGCTGGACTCATAATTTCTTTATAGCAGTAGCCCTCTTCTGCTGCTTAGATCTGCAAATTATGTCACAGGAACATAAAAGGACTACCCTCTCAATTTCCAACTGAATGAAAAATGCTGCAAGTCCATAGTACTCCATGAGCTTTCCTGTGGTCACAGCAGCAAATAAAGATTCAGCTCTTACGAAACAAACTCTATTAACAAACAATGTAAGACACATATTTGGCAGCAGAAAGAATACTGCCACCTCCACCCGAAAGATAAATTCTATAGTCTGTCATTTCTCCAGTGTTTCAAAAAGCATCTATCACTTATGTGTAAACAAATCTAATTTAACAAGTTTTGCATCTTGACACTTATTTTGTAAATTTTGTTAAAGCATGTGTGTTCCTTTCCTTTGTCTAAACATTTATTCAGCTATAAAAAATAAGCCTTAATTCATTGATATCTTTGTCCATTAAATCAGAATAGCTGCCAAACCAGAGTGGTAAAATGGTGACTGTCAGAAATTAGCAGAAGTGCTAATACAACAATAGGGAGAAGAATGTTCTCTTTATAGTAAAGATCCAAGTGATACCTTCAAGGTTTTGTCTAGTTCTGTGAGAATCTGGATGGAGAAGAAAGGCTTAGGATCAATCCTAGCAAGACCAAGTGGCCGTGGATTTTGGAGCTATCTTATCCTGAAGACTTGTCATTTCTAGTTCTGAATGAGCCCACATTGCCTCAGATAAAAACTGGAGCACAATTCAACTCAAGAAGCAGAAGGCAGATGTGGCTAGGAAGGCTTTTGATCAAATCCATCTTGTTTGTCAGTTTTGCCTATTCCTGCATTGGGAAGCTCTCCTTATGATCAGTCATACCTTGGTGAACTCATAAGCCAAAACTAGTCCAGAAGTCCAACTAATGCAGCAGCATGGGTAGTTATAGGAAACTATGGTAAATTCATATAAATCCTATTATTTTGCAAGTTGCACTGGTTAGCAACAGGCTTTTAGGTGCAAGGTGTCATTGACACCTATAAAATCTTTCATGGCATAAGACCAAGATATTTGAAGGACTGTCTATCTCTAATTATTTCCACCTGCCCAACATGATCAAATTGGTTTGTCATGTTTCAGTTCCTTCTGTTAAAAAGTGCCATTTAATAGGACCCAGAACATGTGCCTCTTCTGTTCCTGGACCTGTCCCCAGGTTGGTCCTGGACCTTAGAAAGAACTTGATGTGTTGACTTTTCCATAAAGCTGAGTCAGCTTGTTACAAGTCATTTGTATGTGCTAGTATGTGTTACCTGAATTATTGATTCCAAGGTTACATATGTGGTTCTTTTTCTGATTGGTGTTTTTTTATTGTTTTCACTTGGTGACCACCCTGAATTGCTTGGTGAATGGGCAACCACATAAATGGATGAATAAATAAATTAATACCAAGGTGATTTTGTCTGCAGACCGTCAAACAATTGTGGGCCACGATATCCAGGTTTTTGCACAATATACCAAAGCAAAATAATCTGTACATCCACTCTGCTTGTCCCCTGTGTGGTATCTTTCATGAAATATAACTCACTTCTATTTTGTTTTGTTCTTTGCTTTTACAAAATGGGTAATACTAGGTATTCATTGTGGTTAGCCGATTGTTCTAGGACTACAACTAGCTCTTTGAATCACACAGTCTACTAAAAGCCCTGCACAGATATTCTCACCACAGCGGGTTGACCCATTTGACAGAAAGGTCAGTTTGCAGCATGCGTAAAAAGAATGTTCAGTGCATTAAAGGCAGACCCACTCATGCATATATGGCCTCCTGGCATTTCTGCTGAGTCTTCCCTGTGTCCTGCTGCAATGCCTTATCATGAGGAAGTTGCCGTGAAGCAACTTACATTGAGCAAAGCATGAACTGAATAAGCATTTTCAATAACAACAACAACAACATTCCTTGCTTGGAATGTGGGTTTTGATCATTGGGAGGAAGATATGAACAGAACTGAAGCCTGCTATGTTTGATTGAGCTTGTTGATTTCCAGCTTGGATTATTTATATTTATTCGAAAGGTAGAACTGGCTGCTCACAATAAAATGCTATTCCAGCACTGTATTCAGCATTCATGGATGATGGGAAAAATCACAGCGGACAGGTTTTTTTTTTCCTATCCTGAAATATTATAGGTTTTGCTGACAGAGGCTCATATTCAGAGGTCTGAGAATTTTACATCCATGAGGTTGGATCAGAGTGAGATAGTTAGACAATAAATTTTGAAGTTTATATTACATCTGTCTGTTCTGTAAAATAATCAACACAACTTTCAATCATTTAAAGAGTAACCTGATTTAGAAATTGTGTATGACTACAGTTACATAATGTTATATGACATCAAATGCTAATTCTCTATATTGCATTACTATTGTTATTTAGACAATTCATGGCCACAAAGGAGCAATAACAGCCGTGGCTTTTGCACCTGATGGTCGGTATCTTGCCACTTACTCCAACACTGATAGTCACATTTCCTTCTGGCAGGTAAGTCCCAGATATTTTATTTTTATTTGGTTTGTTATAGAGGTAGTCCTCGACTTACGACCACAATTGAGCCCAAAATCTCTATTTTTAAATGAGACATTTGTTAAGTGAGTTTTGCCCCATTTTACGCCCTTTCTTCTCACAGTTAAGTGAATGAGTACAGTTGTTAAATTAGTAACACAGTTGTTAAGTGAATCTGGCTTTCCCATTGACTTTGCTTGTCAGAAGATCGAAAAGGGTGATCACGTGACCCAGGACACCGCAACCATCATAAATATGAGTCACTTGCCAAGCGTTTGAATTTTGATCATGTGATCATGAGGATGCTGCAATGGTCATAATTGTGAAAAACAGTCATAAGTCACTTTTTTCTGTGCTGTTGTAACTACAAATGGTCACTAAACAAAATATTGTAAATTGAGGACTACCTGTAGTAGATTAAATCCTTTTTTTTTCCCCCACAACAATACTATGAGGTAAACTGGGCTAAGAGAAAATGACTGGTCAAAATTCATTCCATGAATTTCTATAGGTAAAGCTGAGCTCTAATATGGGTCTGTTCTGTCCCTGTCCTCTAAACCAGGGGTGTCAAACTTGCAGCGTCATGTGACGTGTCGCGACATATCGCGACTTTTTTTCCATTGCCGGCAGTGGGGTGTTTTCGGCTTAGTGCTTCTAGGAGCAAGCTCCCACCCAATCAGTTCATACCCCCACTGGCAGTTAAAAGGAAGAAACAGCTAAGACCATACATTGCTCCTCGAAGCACGAAGCTGAAAACACTAGCCTGAAGATGACGAATGAGACTTCGTTGAAACGTCAAGACACTTCCAATTTTACATGGGAGAAAACCCGAATAACCAAAGACCTACATACAAACACCCGCGAAAACCTCAGAAAACATACACACACACACACACACACACACACACACACACACATACACACACACACACACCTATAATAAAGGTAAAAAAGGATATATGCAGTGTTATCTTCATTTTAGATATCAAAAGGGTTTTGCGGCTCCTGGTGTTTTGTTTTCGGTGGGAAACGGGTCCAAGTGGCTCTTTGAGTGTTTCGGGTTGCCTACCCCTGGTGTATAGGAACTGGGGCAAGTAGCGGAAGCTCACCTCATTGTATTACGTTCGGGTCTTGAACCCGGGCTGTCAGCTGACAAGCTCAGTGTCTTTAACCACTGAGCCATCATGCCCTCTGATTACACAACATACAGTCCAGGAATTGAAGAGGAATACCCTTAAGTGAAATTGTGCCTTTTGTTTAGAATCCCTGCTTTTGTAGGCGGATGGCTCAATGAAGAGAAAAGCTGCAGCGGCAGAATTACTGCTCCCCTGGATTCAGTATCCCTGTATCTATCAGCCAGTACATAATTTTAATTTACTATTACTTTCTACATTAATTTGATGATAACTGTGTGTCATTAAGAGTATTGAATTTATCGTCTGTCATCATAGAGTGTGTTATTTAGGAAGCAATGAATAAGAACTGCGAAAATGCTCTTCCATCACTTGCATGTATTTAGTTCGGTTACATGGGAAGATCTAGAAAGCAATCAAGCTTATTGATTGAGATGTTTTACATGATCATCTAAGATTACCAGGGGGAGTGGCAGCAGCTTCAGTGCAGACCCATGCTTTGGCATATACAGTAAACTGCTGAGCTTAGTTCTAGCTGTGAATATTTTTTTCCTTGATTTTTTTTTTAATGGTAGCTTAAACAGAAGGAGTTAACAATAGCCAGCATGTTACATTTATTTAAAAATGTAGCCTTGTGTACTAGTGATTCCTCTTCTCCCTCCAGTGGGTCTATTCAGCACTGCTATTAATGCAAGAAAATCAGTAACATTAGTCATCTTAAAAGGGTTATTACTCAAGATGATTTAAATTGTGAAAATGTCAGTGGGGTTTGCATGCTCCCTGCTAGAGATTTACATTCTCTGACACCATTTTGCTGTTCAGAAGGACCAGGAGAGAAAAAAAAAAAGTAATGGCTTCTGTGTTGCACTGATCTGGATTCAGAACATGATATCGGCAGCAGCGCATCTTAAAAATGTCCTAGGTTTCCATGTGTCAAAATCTCAGGCGCACAGCTGACTCTGCCATCCCCATCTGGTCTACGAAGGTTTCCACTCCTAATGGGTTTAGCTGATTAACAGAACCATTCAGGACTGCCGCTTCATTTCTTTGCACAGGCATATCACCTATATAGCAAAGTGATCTAAATAGGCCAGTTATCAAGTGTAATTGGAAGCTCCAGTTGGAATTTAAGGGCTTGTTTCCTGGATGTTTTGCTTAGAGAACTGACACAGAGAGGAGAAACTGCTGCCTCTTAATGCTTCCTCTCCACCATTTCCATTGCATTTCAAAATATTGTATTTATTTTGAAATGATGCATGTATTAAATGTCCAGTTCCGTACAACCTGATTCATGAAGCAGCAAAAAGCAGAGAAGACTGTTCCTATTTGCCAGATGGCACAATTACCACCATTTAACATGCATTTACATATCAGGTGGCTAAAGAAAATAATTGAGGTGCACGATACTGATTTTTTTCAAAAAAAAATGCAGTTTTCCAGCAAAATATTAATGTTCAGTTCATAAATCAATGCAAGGGCTTTCCTATTTACTTTTGCTACTTTCCTATTTGTATTGTGCAGAGGGGGGAAAGGTAAGCTAGAAGAACATGTGCATGCAAGAGTAGGAAGTTTCTTCTAGAGATAAACATAGATATCCAGGAAATCTTGGGAGACGCTCGGCACAAAGGCTTCAAGTAATTGCAGTTGCTTTGCAGCATTTAGAAGTTGGTCCAGGCGATGCTTAGATTGCAAAGCATCTCAGGGAAGGATTAGTGCAGCCCTACTAGAGAGTATCAATAATAATATCTAGTGTTTATATAATGCATTTGTATTACTGGAAGCACTTCAGATAGATCTCTTGCCAGGAAGCCTGTGAAGTCAGCTCAGAATGTTTTAATTTGCAGAGGGACAATTACCAAGAAAACACAGATGTCTATTCATAGCCATCTAGGACAGAAGTGGGGACCAATCTACAAGTGGCATAAACTCACCCAGATCTTATTGTAGGATGTCCCAGAAATGGGACCACTGAAATTTAATGGCAAAATGCCAGAATTCAACAGTGCTATTTTTGTTTGCTAGTTTCTTGGTTCCTTCTTAACAAAAAAGAGGCAAAATGGCTCCAAGGTAGGCAGTAAACCAATAGTGCCAGGTCAGAAGAAAGTTACTTCCACTTCTGATCTAATGAGTTCTAAACTTAGTAAAGATTTTTAAAAGAGACTATTACGCTACAAACACAGACAGTATGGAGTAATGGTTAAGGCAGTGATGGCGAACCTATGGCATGGGTGGCAGAGGCAGCACTCAGAGCCCTCTCTGTGGGCACGCGCGCTGTCGCCCCAGTCCTAGGCCTTCAGCTGGGTTTTGTAAAACCTTTTCGCTTTAGGCCTCCGCCGCTGTGTACAAAAAAAAGAGGTTCAATCAATCAGTTAATTTCAACTTCTCATGGGAAAAAAAAAAGATCTTGCAAAGTTGGAATTGATTTAGTCCCACCCAGTCGGCTGTTACCACCGTAGCCACACCCAGCCAATGGGCCACACCCACCCAGCACCCAACGATGCATAAGTGGGTTTTGGGTTGCAGTTTGGGCACTCGGTCTCTAAAAGGTTCGCCATCACTGGGTTAAGGCATCAGGCTATAAACCAGGAGACTATGAATTCTAGTCCCACTTTAGACACAAAGCCAGTTGGGTGATCTTAGGCCAGTCATTCTCTCTCAGCCCTACAAAACAGGCAAGGGAAAATCACTTCTGAAATCTTGGTAAGAAAACTGTAGGGACTAGTCCAGGCAAGTCACTAGAAGTCAAAAACCAACTGACAGAGACGCACACAAACACAAAAGGTGGGTAGGCAGTGATGTAAATTATCCTTTACTTTGTTACCTCAGACTCAGGCTCATTCTTTCTCAATCTCATGCACGCACATGCAGAATTTATATGCTGCCCCAATCCTAGATTTTGAATATATATTTCTCAACATTAAATAATATATACAGTATACTAGTAAAATTCTCATGTCTGTAACCTTTAAATAGGAAAAGTGGTATACCGTAGGGCAAATTTTTTTCAGCCAAGGTACCTTAAATGGGTAACTTAAAGGATGCATCCAAAATATTACACCCATAACTCCTGTGGAATTGAAATTTAGCAAATTTTATAAAATATTTTATGATATAAAAATTATCACAAAGCATTTCATGACATAATACAAAATGTCGTAAAATATTTTCTGTGGTCAGCTGATGTTTGACTGTGCTATACAGTTCTGTATGGGCTGCTTTCAAGGCAGGTACATCTCTGAATATCTGTCTGAATTTTTAAGAACTTTTCAAGTACATTTGAAGCTCTGCCCTTGTGGACCTGGTAAGGAAATGTCTCTGAAATGATGAGCTAAGAGGGTCACCAATTGTCTGGTATTCTCTAAAAACTCAAGTTCTCTTTTATCCACAGATTCCCCCTCTGACTGTCAGCTGTACTTTCTCATGGGCCTCTATAAAGTCCAGTCTTCATTTTCCCACAACCAAAATAACCCTCTCAAAAAAAATTGTGGCAAAAGTTCTGCCTATCCATAGAAAGTGCAAAAAATATTACCCTCACCCCCTATTATCCACTGATCAGCCCATATTTGGAGCAATGCCAGAAGGTTACATTAGTAGTTTGATTAGAAAGATGGGATGAGATGTATTCACTTGTCAGTAATGGTTTGTCTACTCGCTGACCTTAAAGGAGGCAAAATGAAAAGCCAGAACCACGTGATCCAATTGCAGAGCGCTCTCTCTCTCTCTCTCTCTCTCTCTCTCTCTCTCTCTCTCTCTCTCTCACACACACACACACACACACACACACACACACTCACACACACACACACACTCACACTCTCTCACACACACACTCGCTCTCTCACACGCACTCTCTCTCACACACTCTCTCTCACACACACACACACACACTCTCTCTCTCTCTCTTTCTCACACATACACACTCACACAGAGAGAGAGAAACACACAGAAACACACACACACACACACACGAGAGAGAGAGAGAGAGAGAGAGAGAGAGAGAGAGAGAGAGAGAGAGAGAGAGAGAGAGAGAGAGAGAGAGAGAGAGATTATTTGGTGGATTTGGCTTTGTGATGGTGAACTTTGAGCAAAAAGTCTGAAACGGGCACCTTTCCCATTAAGACATCCATGAATGTCAGATCTTCTCTGATAAGAAATTAACACAAGCCTAAAGCTTTTGCCTTTGTTGATGGGGTGTGTGTGTGTATGTGTGTGTGCATGCATGCGTGCTATCACTTTTCAGGGTGAATGAGGTAAAAATTGAACTTCTAACTAGAGTGTGAAATGGCCTTAGAAATTATAGCTATCTTGGGCAGCTGTAATTAAATTGTCTTTATGGATTCCCCTCACAAAAAGCATGGCTTGGCTGAGGAGAGCAAATGGTGTTGATATGGCAGCCTCATCAAGAATATTTGCGAAAAGGCTCCTGAGTTTCAGGACTTAAGACAACATTTATTGGCATAGATGAATTAACCCAAACTATAACTGATTTTTATAGAAGACAGAAATGACATTGATAGCAACATGAAGTTTTACTCAAGGACTTTCCTCAACCTTTTAGGGAATTTCTTAGGAAATTCAGTGCTGTATTACAGGTAGTCCTCGACTTATGACCAAAATTGGAAACAGAACTTCCATTGCTAAGTATTGCCATTCTGAAATGAGTCATGCCTGATTTTTACAAGCTTTTTTGCCATGGTTGATGTGAATCACCATGTCTGATAAGCAAATCTGACTTCCCCCATTGATTTTATCAGAACCCCCTTGGAAAGGACATTAATGGTAATCAGATGATCTTGCAAGCATTGTAAATACTTGCCAAGTGCCTGAATTTTTATTATGTGATCACGGGGACATTGTGACAGTCATACATATGAGGACTGGTCATAAGCCATTTTTTTCTAGCCCTGTTGTAAGTTCAAACGGTCATTGAATAATGTTCTTAAGTCAAGGACTATCCGTATTTCTTTATAAAACAAGTTTATATATTTCAGTATTGATTGACTTGTTCTTTTCTCCCCCGTCTCCCAATGCCAGATGAACACCTCTCTGTTGGGAAGCATCGGGATGCTGAATTCTGCACCACAGCTCCGTTGTGTTAAAACCTACCAGGTTCCTCCTGTCCAACCTGCATCTCCAGGTTCACATAATGCCCTCAAACTGGTCAGGCTTATCTGGACTTCAAACCGCAATCTTATTCTTATGGCCCATGATGGCAAAGAACATCGATTTGTGGTGTAAAGTCAGGCTGTGTGAAAGAACCCCCAGTTCTAAATACAAATGTGTTTTGAAATTTCTTATAAATTGATTCTCCCTCTTTATGATCTTAATATTCGAGGTATTAAATACCCAAAGATTGTGGACCAGGATTAGCCAGACAATATATCTTCTGCTTGCTTTTGCATCAGAGTACCTGCTTAAGCCTGTTGTTCCTTTAGAGCAGTGTTTCTCAATCTTGGCACCTTTAAGATGGGTGGACTTCAACCCCCAGAATTCTCTAGCCAGCAGTCTGGGGAATTCTGGGAGTTGAAGTCCACACATCTTAAAGTTGCCAAGGTTGAGAAGCACTGCTTTAGAGAAATGCAGATCTATTCAGCAATTAGACCATCTTGCAAGATTTTTCTCTTCATCACTATGAGAAAAAAAAAAAAACAGGAGCTTGAGAATGTAACTTGGGTCTGGCTAGATTGGTGAGAATCTTGATTCTATTGACTTTGAACATTAAAGCTGGTCTGAATCTCATCATTCTTAGAATGCTAAAATCCTCAGAGCCTAAATGAAAAAAAAAAATCCTTTGAAGTGTTTTGAAATTTCATGTTTACCAAAGCTTATGTGTTTACACTAAAATTTTTCCAAGTTCCTGGAAGATCTTGGAGTAAGAATGTTCTGCTCATTTCTGAGATTCTGATAAGCTCAGGAAAGATCCACAAGTCCCTTACATACTCTTTTGGCATTTTTTACCTGGGAAAAAAAAAGAGGGAGTCATATGGCACCTATATATCTAGAATCTGAGATGTCTACTAAAGTCACTGGTTAACGGTATTAAAGGCCCATTATATATTTCAGGTTTGGAGTTTTGTAAGAAAATCTATAGAAAAGAAGAAATCATTTTCTTTGTGTAATTTCTGATCAAGATGGAAACAACAGCATATTCCCATTAGTGAAAAGGTGATTTTCTGTTTCTTAAGTTGGGGAGAAAGAATACCCCCAGTGAATTTTTTTTCTTCAGTGAAAATTTACACAAGAATACAAAAGAGATAATAGGGATGTTGATATTTTCTTTGCTGCTAATATATGTATCAATATCAATATCTATGTATCTACAAATGATCCCTTTCACAGCTTCCTCTTGCAAAGAAATGAAGACTCTTCATATTGACATCATCAAAGTCTATTGTGACATAAATATGTCACTAATTATGATACAGTGAATTCATATCATTTGGATTAATCAGAGGAAAGAGATTTAAGAGTTAGAATTATTTAATAAAACATATCTTTAGTCATTATTGCAAGAAATATGAAGAAAAGTTAACCTTCGGGTCCATTTCAAGTGTTATCCTTAATCAGAAAAAAAATCATAATAGATTGATTAGCATTCACATGTCTCCTATATCTTATATATTTATTTTTTCCTGAAAAACTTTGTCTGTCTCCACCTCCCTTCCTTATAGAGCTGAGGGGGAAAAATGTAGAAAATATTTTATTGAAATGCTGGTGTGTTAAACATACTATATGTATAGTATACATGTACTTCTGGACTTGAATATGAGAATACAGAGAAAATGCTCTTAATGCTTGCTGATAAATTTAGCAAAAATGGCACCTGTGGAAAATTTGATTGTGGAAATTTAAGGATGAAGGATCAAGAAGGACAACTGGATGCATTTATTGGAGCACAGCATCTGTATCATCTCCCCAGAAATGAATGTTGTCCATCATCTTTGCCTTCCTGGATAGCACTGAAATATTCCTGGTGCTTTGCATACATTAAGATTATTATCAAATAATTTAGTGATTTGTTTAATACTGTATATGTAATATCAGCCATAATTATCTTGAGAATTTAAAAACAGTAAGAAATTGTTCAGAATGTTTTATAGCATTTGTGCTATTGACTTATGGTTTGGTGGAGGTATATTCAGTTATAAATTTTCAGTTTTTGAGGGGAGGCGGTTAAAAAAACATATCATGCGCGCACCGATACACAAAAATGTACACCATTGTTGAATCCTATTATGATGACGGCATAAACAGTACAATGAATGATATTTAGAGATACCCCCTGTTAGATAACTTTCCTTTTTATTATGTCTAGTTTCCTTTGTTATCCACACATTCTTTTTTGACATTGATTCCTGCAATCTATGGGGTCCCATTTATTTGTATGGAATGATGTGTGAGGAAAAAGCAGATTTATTATTGCAAGGTTGGCTAATATTTCCTGAAATAAACAAGACTCTGCAGAGACCATTTCCCAGCAATAAGGCAAACTGGAGAGGCAGCCTTCCAAATTTACCAAGTTATTTGCATAATGCTACTTGTTGCATCTCAGCAGGAATGTCCAATTTCCTGGGATGTTTGAATTTCTAGCTGCCATCAACCCAGAAGCAAAGGGTTATGGGAGTTATAGCTAAGTGTTTGCAGTGCACTTGGGGCCTATTATCACTGTAGGCCTACTAAGGGCAGAGTCCTATATTATGGTAATCGGAGGATTGTCAATAAAAAAAATGCACTGCAGTATTGAGAAGCTTTTGGTTTCGCTTCAAAACACAGTCTAAAAGTTACCTACAACATGATATTATGAATTTCTTTACAACAGCCAGTGACCTAGGGAGAAAAGGTAAATATATAATATTATGCATCAGGATCTAGACAAAAAAATGTTACCTATTACAAGGCAAGTATGGGGAACCACTAAGTGACTCCCATTTTGATATACTGCAAGCTCTCTGCATTTATAACATGGAGGCCCAGTCTAGATATTCCAAACAGACTACACTATGCTGAATAAAAGGAGACCAAATCTTTTCAGTTTTGCTGCACTATTTATTTCAGCAGGGCGTATAGGAGAGTTCTATGTTTGAGTGGAGAATGTCCGGTTCCCAGTTTTATGATTGGCCCTGTAGCTGTTCCTTTTACTTTACCGTGTCTTGTTCTTCAAAGAATTTCCAGCATTTTGAGATGTGATGGAAGAACATATCCGCCTGCTTTTATCCACAAGACATTATTTGCTGTTGTGAAGGATCTAAACCTATTTTGAATATTACAAGAGCGTGGGAGGGACGACCTCTTAGAGCTGTGTCTTCTGCAGACCTGTGACGTGATGCATTATGCCTGTTCAAACACAATCAGAGCGTTTAAGACCAACAGAAAATCTGACCAATACAAAGGAGTAATTTAACAGAAGAATCAATATTTATGTACTGGTAACTTGAACAATCCACCTGGCCCGGCACAAAAGCCTTGCATGGCTCCTTCACTGAAACGAACGGTGCTCTGCTACAGTAGCACTGAGTAGATTTTTGCCAAGGCTTCTTAATTCCCCTAAGATTCCCCATATGCAAATCTGCATCGGAGAGACTTAACTCAGCCCTCACTGTAAATTTCATCATAGCTTAGATCTTTCAGCACTGCAGTAAAATTTGTATTGTCATTCCAGTGTAAGCTTTTAGTGTTTTATTGATTTGTTTAGTACTGTATTTGGATTTGTCCTTCTAAATGTAGCAACGTGCGTGGCTTCATTGGCAGTTTACAAGCAAAAGATGACATGATGAGACACCTGTATGAAAATGTTGTCACTACTGAAGTCGCAGTCTATGGTAACTGATTAAAATATCTGCCTCTAAGAAATTGCACGATTCCCCTTATTATTTGCTGCCTAGATAGGAAGGACCTAAATGGGTAATTTCTCTGAAATCATACTAAATTGTTCTAATTTTCACTGTCCTACTTAGCAACACTGTCTGTTTGCATTAGCCCCACTGTCAATAAGTCTATCTTCAACTCTCCATGAATGGACTTACGCTTGACGGCAAATGAATGTAAATGGTTTTGTTTGTTTGATTTCAAAAATGAATGAACATGTTGAACTGAAAGAGATTAATCCTAGAAGTAAAACAGCTAATGACAACATCATATGCATAAACAAATTAAAGCAACTCTCTTTTCAATACATTCCATAGTAATGTATTGCTATGAAAGCCAGACATTGAAAAAGAGAGAGAGAGAAAGAGGTAAAAGATGGACCTCTTCAAATTATGGATCGGGAGACATTACCAAGAGTGCCGTGGAGTATAAAAAGAACCAATCACTCAATCAGTCCTGGGCCACATGCAGACTGACTGCTCCCTTGAGACAAAGATCAGCAAACAGAAACTCACATATTTTGGACAAGTGATGCAAGCAGATGGTGAACTACATAAATTGATGGTGTTTGGCACGATTAAAGGAAGGGGAAGACAGTGAATAAAGGGGATGAATGGATGGATGCAATCAGGTCACAGAAACATCCTTTGAAAAACTATAAGTTACTGCCAGAGACAGGTCAAAACAGCAATGACCTGTATTTACTAAATTTATAAAGCGAGTTTCACTGTAGCTTACAACAATGCTGAAATCATCAGAACCTCAATGGTACCTAGAATACATTAACATGAATAATAGTGTCACACATACTGTACATACTTAACATTGGCAAATGGCAGAGAATTTCGCAGTACTGCCATGATGAAAGCTACATTTGTATAGATTGGAAGCATAGCAAAACATTCTGGGTTTGCTGAATGTTGCCATTAGTATTTTCCTGCAGTAATGCTAGGAATTGCAGCGTGGCAATTCCTGGGTAGTGCTAGATTCTCCTCCATTTCACTGGATGCTAGGGTGGAGAGGAATCAAATGTATTTATTTACTGTACCACTCCCTGGAAACGTACGACAATGGACAATGAAGCAGAATAAAGGCACTGGCAATATTGTAGTAACACAAAAATAATAATCTTTCAAAAGAGTAGTACAATGATTATAGATCCATCTGGGTTGCTAATAGGGGGCTTTTCCATAGCAAGGGAGCTACTGATGACAAATAGAAGTTTCTCACATTTCCCAAGATTTTATGTGGAGAACAACCTTAAAGCCTACACTTGAGATATGCACAATAAAAGGGCAGGATAAAAAATAATCCTTTGAATTGTACTAGGAAGCCATTGGTAGCCAATGTAGAGAGCTCGGGGCCTCTGTTAGGTGGCAATAGTAAATATCCACCAATAAGCAGGTTGCTCCATTTGGGGCCAATTGCAGATTCCTAGTACTTTAAAAAAAAAAAAAAAGCCCTATTGTCATGGTTCCGATAGGTGAAACCCATCAAAAGAATTTCAAAGCAAAAATTCTTCTTTAAAGAACATTTTATTCAGGAAACAAAGTATCGGCACTACATAGTTGAACCCAAAAACTAAATTCCCTTCCCCCAGATACAAAATAACAAAGTGCAATTCCCACCCCCCAATAAGCTGTCATAAATCACATTCTCCAATTAGCCTAAAACACGAGCTTTTTCCCCACCTCAGCCCGCCAAAACGTTATCAGTTCGTCCTTGGGTTTCCACAAAGCAGTGTTATTATGGCTAGCTGAGCTCAGCATTTATCCCAACCACCCCCCCTTCTGCACCTAATTTCTAAATGCCAGAAAAAGCATGTTAAAAGCAAAGAGAAAATGGCTGCAATTTTCATCAGTTGTCAGAACAGGTACATCCAATGTTTACAGCGTTGACACCTATATAGTACAGAACATATTTCAGTGCTAACTGGGAGGTGAGAAGACTGTTTATTGTTGATACAGTTTCCTTTACTAGAAAGGGCCACAAATGAGACAGCATGCCACACAATGTTGCTTCGTACTGTGAGATGGGCGGCATATAAATGTAATGAATTATATAAATATATCTATTGGCAAAGGCTGACTTAACCCCATAGTCATAGCTTCTGCTTTCTAGCCACAGTAGCCCTGAATCTAGGAATATCCCTTCTACCTACAGCAGCCATGTTTTTTCAACATTTTAGGTTGATCTTCATTTTATTTATTTGTTGGATATGTATCTTGCCTTTTCGCCAGGAGTATCATTTCTCCATTTTTTAAAAAAAAAAACCCACTACAATAACCTGTGAGGGACATCACCCCCAGTGAGTTTCTGTGATTGAGGGTAGACTTGAACCTTGACCTATTGGACTGTAAACATAGCCCTTTGGGATATTTCATTAAAGCAGATAAAGAATTGGACTTGGAAGGGAAAATGAACTTAAAAGTGTACAAAATGAACATTCTCTCTCTCTCCCTCTCCCTCTCTCTCTCATTGTGTGTGCATTTTCTGTGTGTAAACAGATGTGCACTTCTGTTTCTCTTATCACTTACATTAAAACAATCTTCCAATTAAGAATTTAGATAAGGACAGTTTTCCTTCACCCAGAATACTGGACATAAATCAACAATGTTATTCAATTATTCTTCAAAAAGGAAGCTAATTTCTTCGAATTTTTCCACTGGTGAAGGCAGAATGGTAAGGTAGGAAATGATCATCAGAGAAGAGAAGAGAGAGGAGAGAAGAGAAGAGAAGAGAAGAGAAGAGAAGAGAAGAGAAGAGAGAAGGCATCTCGTCACCTCATCAGATTCACCATTTTAATACATCAAGGACCTCTTGAATCTTAAGGTGTTTCTGTCTTAAAATCTGTGTTTCTATGTTAAAATCACTAGTAGATGAAACATTATTTTCCCTATAGGTTGAATTGGCTCAGGATCCATTCTTTTGCTGATCACATAAACTGATCAAATGCAGAAAGGGCACGACATTAACAGGAAGGTAAAGCCAGGCAGTGCGGAATGAACTTTCACCTTTCACCTCTTCAGCTGACAGACAGGACTGAGTGTGAAAAAAATCAATACGGAGGAGCCAGGAGGGAAATATTTCCAACCTCTAACTAGAGAATGTATTTTGACAAGGCCAAGATAATCCAAGCTGCACAGGAGAAAGAAGGGGAAAAAAGACTCATTTTTAAAACTTGACACTTCAAGGTGTTTTTCTACAATGGTTTGGAGAAAGCATCGATAACGTATAAATAACAAAGGTCAAAAAGAAAAGCAGAGAATTTCAGAAATTGCATCCATTGTCTTTCTCCTATTGACTTTGCCAAATAAGATTGTGCCCAGCACTGATTAACATATAGGCAAGTGTGCAGACTCCCACTTTCAAGAATTAAGCAAGCTCATGAATTCAAGGAGCTTTCTTCTTGGTTTTTTTGGGCGGGGGGCTGGAGAAAAACCTGGAATGGCATATGGGAGGGATGCAGAAATCCCATTCTCTACCCTGAAGCTCTTCCATTGTGTAGCACATCTGCCTTTATTAATCCAGGAGATTCATGCAAAAATTGCTTGTAAGGAGCTAAGCATTCCCTTTGGAGAATTGTGTGGGTTGTGTATCTGTCTCTCTGTGTATACAGATGCACATACACACTACACACACAAATTCAAATGAAACCAATCCTAACCTTCTTCACTCTTCCCTGTATGCTAAAAATTGTGCCATTTCCATGCTTGACTAAATGACATTGAGTAAAGCTAGCTAAGTTTACTCATTATCCTAAGCCGGGAATTCCTAAACATTTTGCTATCGTATCTCCTTTTAGGATAATCTTAATTTCAACGCCTCCCCTACAAATCCAACCCCAAAATGAACACTGAAAACAATGCAATGAAACTCTGGAATAAGAGGAGGTATTGTAATAATTTAACAAAAAGGTTGTTCACACTTTTCCAAGGGAGGCACATCTTATACAGTTAGTTCTCAGTTTACAACAGTTCGTTTAATGACTGTTCAAAGTGATTTATGACTGTTTTTCACACATATGATCTTCGTAATAGCCCCATGATCATGTGATCAAAATTCAGATGCTTGGCAACTGGTTCATACTTAGGACCATTGCTGAAGCCCAAGGTCATGTGGTCACCTTTTGACAAGCAAAATCAAGGGGGAGGCCAGATTCACTTAATAACCATATTACTAATTTATCCAATGCAGTGATTCACACAACAACTGTGGCAAGAAAGATCGGAAAATGGGGCAAAACTCACTTAAACATTTTACTTAACAACAGAAATTTTTTGCTCAATTGCAGTCGAGGACTACCTGAGAAACTAAGCCATGATTTGCACTAACCCTAACTTCCAGATTAAACTAAAATTGTCTAGGTTTCTATGATGTGCTAAGCTAGTAATGGCGAACCTTTTAGAGACGAGTGCCCAAACTGCAACCCAAAACCCACTTATGCATCGTCGGGTGCTGGCTGGGTGTGGCCCATTGGCTGGGTGTGGCTGTGGTGGTAACAGCAGACTGGGTGGGACTAAAAAGTTCAATCAATCAATTCCAACTTTGCAAGATTTTTTTTCCCACGAGAAGTTAAAATTGACTGATTGATTGAACCTTTTTTTTTTTTTTTTTTTTTGCACACGGCAGTGGCTTAAAGCGAAAAGGTTTTATAAAACCCAGCTGAAGGCCTGGGCTCTGAGTGCTGCCTCTGGCACCCGTGCCATAGGTTTGCCACCACTGCGCTAAGCCGTAAACCATAGTTAGTCAAAGTCTGGCTAGATTTGCACACCATTTGATGCTGAAGCTAAACAATCCATGCAATGGATCGGTATGATATGATGGAGCCAGTCCATAGAGACTCTCTCTAGGTTCTGACACGCTTCTAGGGAAGTCATCACTTGATACGCAGTCAACAATCATTGGACGTATGAGTCACTTCTTAGATTTCTTCAGTTTGTTCTAATTGCTTAGTTATGACTCAATTCATCCCAAGTTTGTTT